AAAAGAAAGAAATTTGCTCAATATTTTAACAACAATGGGATGTCATTAGAGGGTCTTAGCCCTGGATATTCATATTTCAACATGAATTATTTTAACCTAACCCTTTCTCTTTTTGAATTTTTTTAGATCAATTGAAATTCACCAGTGGTAAAACATTTGCCTAGTATGTGAGAGGCCCTGGGTTTAATCTGCAGCACAGAAAGGAAGGAAGGAAGGAAGGAAGGAGGGAAGGAAATATTAGGGGAAAATACTAGGAAAGAGGTCAGAATAGTTTTGGAAATGCAGAACCGTTGCAGAAAACACACCTGGCTAGTGATTGTTTCTGACTTTCAAGAAGATAATGAACAAAAGGTACACAAATGACTGCAAGGTCAGGAATTTTGCCATATTAGTAATAGTGGTCCACTTCATGGTTTGAATACAACCCTTGCTGCTCTGCTACAGAGGCTTTTTTTAAAATGGATGTGTTTTTCCCTCTTCTCTCACTCCCAAATTAGCAAATGAATTTCAACTCCCCTCCCCCCTCCTATCGGGCACACCTAGAATGCAGCCTTCAAATCACCTCTTTGTTCCCCCTGATGGGCAGAATCACAGCCTCTGAGTCAGGAGTCCCTTGTGTTTCTCATTTGCTGGCAAAGCAATAAAACTTCTTTTTCCTTTTTCTCAAAACTTTGTCTTCATTATTGAATTGGTGTTGGGGACAAGGTTGGAGCTTATTGAACGTATTGAAGATATCAAGTTCAGGGAAGAACAGTTAAGTTCCTTTATCTTTTATCTTTTCTTGTTTTTCTTCAGCTCAATGTGAAGACTTCGGTGAGGGGGTTGGTAGGACCATTTTGTGTGTGTGTATATATATGTATATATATTTATATTATATATGTATGTTATGGCTTATCCTTAATTACAGGCAATGTCAACATCAGCCACTCACCAGATAATGTCTGTTTTGTGTCCTAGAAATCAGCAGTATCATGTGTAGCTTTTAAATATCAACACCAATCACTTCTTAAACATTCCAAATTTTTAAGATATTCACACTTTAAGGCAAAAGTTATCTTTTCCCATCATTCTATAATTGTTTATATGTAATGTTAACATTAGCTATATGACTAGATTTAGCTATTTTTAAGTTTTTACTATAACAAAATTAGTTTGCAACATAAAGGTCTACCCTATTATAAAGAAACATTTAAATTGGGTTAAAAAAATAAGAAATGTCCATATAAAGTTAATGAATCATTAATGCTTTTATTAAAATAATGATTACAATGAGAGTTCTAGAATCAGACTATTGTTTGCTTTTAAATTAACCTTTCTGCTCCTAAATCAATAAGTGCACTATTGGGCTTCCTTCCACAACTACCCTCATCTCCTGTAAGAATTCACGTAGATGTCCCTCCTAGAGCCCTTTTCTACACACCAATGAGAGTACATTGTTTTCATTTGAGAGTCAAGGTTAATATGCAAAATCATGGTAATACACATAAATGGTTATACACAAATATGAATATGGGGGCCAGGGTTGTGGCTCAGAGGTAGAGCACTTGCCTAGGATGCATGAGGCACTGGGTTCAATCCTCAGCACCACATAAATATAAATATGAAGATATTGTGTCCACTTGTAACTAAAAATTAAATTTAAAAAACATGAATATGGTTATTTCATGGTTATACACAAAATGAATATGACTAGAAGAAAATTAATGTTCTAAACATAAAGATTCAACAGTTTGAAAAGATAGTGGATCATTTCTTCAATAAGTATGTTACTCAGATCTGATTTTGCCTTTTGCCTGCTAAAAAAAAATTCAAATCCCACCACAGGCATTGTGGTGTATGCCTATAATCCCAGTGATTTGGAAGGATGAGGCAGGAGGATCACAAGTTTGAAGCCAGCCTCAACAATTTAGTGAAGCCTTAAAACTTAGTGAGACCCTGAGCTAGGGATGCAGCTCAGTGGCAAAGTGCCCCTGGGTTAAATCCCCAGTAACCACCCCCACCCTCACCCCCAAAAAAGTCAGATCCCTTTAGTCTTGTTCTTACTTGATTATCAGTGACTTCTACTTAAAGGGTGGAGTATACACAGTATTTTTTTTTTTTTGTAAATGATAGTTTTAGGAGCTTTGGGAATTACTGCAAAATAATAGCAAGTGCCAAATTTACCCCCATTTGGCTTCTTCAATTTAATTAGAACCCCTTTCATGACCCCATTTCAGTATTCTGAAGTTCAAGATTTTTTTTCCTGGACCTGAGTGGGAAGAAACATCAGTTATGACAGTAGTGCCCTAAAACTGGTTCAAACAGACTTGAGCTCATTGTTAACAATTAAATTGTGTACACTTACAATGAATTATATGGTTTAAAAGATAAGGGCTAAGGATGTAGCTCAATGGTAGAATGTGAACTTTGCATGCTTAGGCACTGTTTTCAGTTCCCCAGCTCCGAAGCCAAGCAAAACCAGAGAAAGATAAGTAAAAATGTAGGACTTTTTACTTCCTAATGACTTGACTACTTTTTCTTCCACTTCACTACTTTTTTTTTTTTTTATACTGGACCTCACTACATTGCTGAGGCTGGTCTCATACTAGTGATCTTTCTGCCTCAGGTTCCCAACTGGCTGGGATTACAGGCATGCACCACTACCTCCAGTACCAGGACCAGCCTACTCTTGACATTCTTTATATTTGCTGTGCCTGTGTGGTGTAAGGACTACACAGCTCTGTGGCTGGTGCATTTCTCTTGACAGCTCCACGTTCAGGGAGGGGTATTCATGGTGAGGGTATTTACATAGTCTTGAAGCTGATAGAGATTTTAATTGAAAAAAAATAATTTATATATAGGTGAAGAACAGAATAACAGTAGATTGCATAAAATATGCAATGAAAATTGCCAGGCAAACTGGTGAACACTTGTAATCCCAGCAATTTAGGAGACTGAGGAAGGAGGATTGCAAGTTTGAGGGCAGCCTCAGCAATTTAAAGATACCGTGCCTCAAAATTTTAAAAATAATTTGAAAAGAACTGGGGATTGTAGCTCAGAGGCAAAGCACCCTGTGTTCAAACCCAGTACCCCCCTCCAAAAAAGTAATATAATTAACATTAAAAATGTACGTAATAACCAGGTGTGATGGCACATACCTGTAATCCTGGTGGCCCAGGAGACAGGCAGGAGAATCACAAGCAATTTAGTGAGACCCTACAACTTAGCAAGACCCTATCTCAAAATAAAACATAAAAAGCGGGGAGGAGGGTGGCTTAGAAATGTGGCTCAGCAGTTACGCACCCTGGGTTCAAATCCTTGATACCAAGACCAAAAAAAAAAAAAAAAGTATATAATGCAAAATAGGACTAGGATGTGGCTCAGTGGTTGAGTGACCCTGGATCCAATTCCCAGTACCATAAAAAAAAAGAATACATTTTACTATTTACTATTATTTATGGATTATATGCTCTAGGAAAACTTATAATCAACACATGTACACAGAGGTGCACACTTTTTCCTCTGGGAAGGCCCTTGTTAGACATTAACCAGGCAGCATCAGCTCTTCAAGAAAGATGAAGTTCAGCAGGTAAATTAAAAAGCAGCTTTTTTAGGAAGTCATAATGGATACCAAAATTGCCTTTATATGAACATAATCTGCTAAAATCAGTGAGTATTCTTGCTGGTACTAATTTGGTTTAGTGGTGTTAAAATGTTTTGTTGCCATTTAAATTAGAAACTCCTCCAGCTGGAAAGAACCAGAATTTCAACAAAATGATATACAGACATTTCTACTGAGCCTAAAGAATCATGGCTATGGCATAGAAACTGAAGAACATTATTTATTTATGGCTATGACTTACAAAAAGTGTTTTTTCAATAAAATTATTGCACCACCTGTAATTCACCTTAGCTTAGTATTTTTGCCTTTAAATTCATTGACAAGGCACATGATTCTCCAAGGCACATGACGGTCAAGTCAAGGGTAATATTTACTTGCTTCATGAATAACTTGACCTGCTCAGGTAGACTGATCACTATCTAATCTGCAGGGAGCCAAAAGTTGAACCCCTTCATTCCAAAAAAATGGCTTCTAACCCAACCACCCCAGTGAAGGAAATTACAAGATTGCACCATGGTGTTTTTGTTTTGTTTTTCTTAGGTACGGGGGGGGGGGGGGATTGAACTCAGGGACACTCAACCACAGAGCCACATCCCCAATCCTATTCTGTATTTTATTTGGAGACAGGGTCTCACTGAGTTGCTTAAAAATGCCTCGCTTTTGCTGAGGCTGGCTTTGAACTTGCGATCCTCTTGCGTCAGCCTCCAGAGCCGCTGGGATTACTGTCGTGTGCCATCATGCCTGGCTTGCACAATGGTTTTTAATCACCTGATACATATTTCAACACAAACTCTGTCTCAAGGTGCACAGATGATCTCTATACCTAGTGTTAAATTAGAAGTATCAGACCCTGGTTTCCTACTGTGTGAAGTTTTATAAATCCATAACCCAGAAATAATACACAGAAATAATCAAGGTCTGTATCTTATCCACAAATATACCAGATCCCTTATTCAATGAAAAATTCCCCCAAATGGTTTTAGTAGGACAATGAAGACAGCTATGTGTTCTAACCAAGGAGAAAAAAAAAATCATTTGTGAAGTAGATAGTTGTTCAACTAAGATCTCAAGCCAGGTATGGTGGCACATGCCTGTACTCCCTGTGGTTTGGGAGGCTGAGGCAGGAGGATCGAAAATTCAAAGCCAGCCTCAACAACTTAGTGAGGCCCTAAGCAACTTAGTGAGCTCCTGTCTCAAAACATGGAAAAAAAGGTGGGGCCTGGGGATATGGCTCAGTGGTTAAGCACCCCTGGTTTAAATCCCCAGTACCAAAAAAAAAAAAAAAATCTCAAAAGGCCAATGAAAAATCCAGTTCTGATGTATGTGTGTATCATGCAAAGAGTGGAGAAAAAGCAATTTGGGTCCATTATATAACTGCCGCTTTTTGTTTTTATTCAAGGTGTCATAAAACTGAGTTCTGCAGTTGAAGGTACGTTTTTACAACCACAGAATCGATAATGTTTTGCTTCAAGGTTGCACAGCGTGGCCTGTAGCTAGCAAGCTTCCGTGGCAGTGGTGTTTGACGCCATGTTCGAATTGCCAACTGTCGCCATTCCATCTGTGTTTCTCCTCGTTCTGGTCATGTTATGCCACAAGTCTCTTGGCCCTCCACAAGTGGCGTTAACACTGCCCTAAGAGGGTGGTGGCATTTCGAAAGCATATATGTCTATTTGTATTCCCTTGTGTGATAGCCTCTGATCCAGTGCTCCTCAGGGACGCCCTGGCTCTCCAATGGCCTTATTGGAGGCTGAATGTAGAGTTACATCAGGAAGCTTTGCCCTGGCCCTTTCAGCCAGGCCTTCCTTGTCTAGGAAAGCCTTGGCCTTTTATTCCCATGTAACAGACGTATTTTCCAGAAAATATGTGCAAGCGTTGTTAAGGCTTCACAATAAGAAAACTAGATAGTTAGGGCATTTGCTAATCTCAGGATTGGTTTTTCTGGGCAGTTGATCCACAAGACAAGTGTTGTCTAGTTGGTGAGTGGCAGTTCCCTTTACCGATGCACTAGAGAAGCTGAGGAGGAAGAGGGATTTCAAGAAAACAGGAAACTGACCACACATCAGGGCATTTTGCTGAATAATTCCCCAAACTGGTAAAAATATCTCATTATCTGCAATAATTAATTGGTTATTGAAATACAATTGATCTCCTTACCTTCCTAGGGACTGTACAATCAGAAAGGCAGAAAATGTGTAATTTCCTCTTTCTGTGAGTTTCTGTGTTTTGGTATACGCGTGTTGTGTGTGTGTGCGTGTGTGTGTATGTGTGTGTGTGTGTGTGTTTTCTCGTTTATCAGGAGTGTATTGTGCATGCTTTAGGGGTGTCTTCATCCTCGCTTAATCAGGGCAGACTGCTTGGAAGAGGTGGGGGCTTTCGGGTAAGTTTTCCAACTCGAAAGAAGATGTACCTTGATGAATGAGCAGCCCATGGAAATGGGGAGTGGAAAACCTGCAAGGGGGTTGACGTGCTGAAGCCAATGGCTAGACTCAAGCCAAGGGATTCTGAGTGCTGAAGTTTGAAGGTTGAAAGATGAGAGAAGAGCTCAGCAATGTATTCATGGAATCCACAAATCCAAAGTGGAGTACCATCACAGTCTACAAAATCAAGTTGCAAAGGCAATATTTTTACATTCATGGCTGAAAATATGCTGCTGCTCTAGACTAAAAAATACCATAAGGGATGGGGATGTCATTCAGTGGCACAGCCCACACTTAGCATGTGAGAGGCTCTGGGTTCTACCCCTTGCACTATTTAAAAAAAAAAAAAGAGAAGAAGAAGAAGGAAAAGGAGGTACAGATAGTGGTGTTTCAAGGTAGAAAGAGATGAGGATAGAGAGAGAGCTTGTTTCTGCTAGGCCAAGCAGAAATTCAAGTTCTCTCTGTACATCAAAATGGAATTTTATTGAAAGACTCTCCCATGGTCTGCCTAATGGAAGAGTCGTGGAAATCTAGCAGGAGCAAGAACTGACCTTGCCCGCCCAAACTCCCAGTGGCAACTTCAGCTCCACATTTGTTAATTATCTGTAGAATTACAGATAACAGTTGGTCCACCCTGGGCTGTTTTAATGTTTTATCAAGGAACAGCTTTGAAGTCATAGCTTTACTTTGCCTGCTTGGATTAAGCACAGTATTCCACTTGCAACAAAAGAACATAAAAACAAACCAATTATTATGTTTTTTAAAAAAAACACAAGCCGGGGGGAGCGGGCTGGGGATGTGGCTCAGTGGTTAAGCACCCCTGGGTTCAATCCCTGGTACCTAAATAAATAAATAAAAAGTCAGAAAGCCAAGAGAACATTAGATTAAGGAAAAATGAGAGCAGGGAGTGATATGACTTCCCAGAGAAATGCCCCACAGCCTCTGGCTGCCTCCCTCTTGACCTTTTCCAAGTCCCTGAGGATTTAAAGAAAGAGTCCCTGGTTAGTAGAGGTCAGGGCAACTTGCTGCTTAAGCATCTTTTTGGCAGCTTATTGGCTGAGGGTGTCAAAGCTTGAAGGCTTGGGAGCATGCTGTGTTATAACTGTGTAGAATATATGTGTGCAGTGGTGGTTTGGGGCACAGTTTTGGGATGGGGTGTGTGTATTCAGTGCATGCATTCTCAATGCTTCTAGAATGTGAGACTCTAGCGAGCATGCTCAGTGGAATGTGTGTCTAGCACTATCTCTGGATGAGCAATCAAACCTCAGGCTAACTGCTCAGCTAATTACTGTACTTACTCAATTCCTATATTACTCTATGTCTGTGGAAGGCAGCTTCCTGATTCTCTGATCTTGTCAAAGAGCATGCACATCTGTGGAAGGCAGCCATTGCCAAAAATGAAACCTCTTTACTTTAAAAATGACTGTTTTGGATTACTCTAGAACTGTAAAAATAGCATTCAAGTTTTAGGTAGGTTTTCTTTTCTTAAAAAAAAAAAACAAAAAAAAAAACCTCTGAAAACCATAAAAGTCAACAAAGATTCCACTTGGTATTTCCTATGGAGAATTTGTCAAGTAGTTTGGTATCTTCCCTCTCTCTAAAGCAGGGGTGCCTCCTTCCACATCTTTCATCTTCATTGAGCCTAAAGAAAAAGCCACGTTGATCACAGTCATGGTAAGGTTAAAAGCGAGATGTCATTTGAAAGGCTTAAAATTGTTGTACTTCAACAAAAACACAACAGGGTTCAAATATTTTGCAGTGAAGATATTTGAACAGGAAATAAGTTAATCATTAATTAATTATTATTTATTAGTTGTTTTATAATGTTTTATATTTTATATCATGTTTATTATTTTGAAAAAAATAACTGCAAAGTCTTATCATTAATACTGATTAACTCTCACCTCTAATTTTAGATTAGTTCCAAGCCGTTTGGGGGAAGGGGAGATAGTTGGAGCAATGACATGGAGAGAAAAAAACATCCATGGGAAGAATTCTAGAACAGAATCTTCAAAGTAATCTTCTTAAAAGGGATTTTCTGTCTTAAAACTGGAGCTGAGAGAAGGTGGCAGGGTGGGTGGGGTTGCATATACTTCCACATGTAGAATCAGAGAACCCCCTTATCAGGGTAAGCGGAGAACTCAATTGAGGCCTGAGTCAGAATTGCTTTCACATCCCACAGGCAGCCATTTCTTGGAGGGGAGGAAGTCCAGCCCCTGTGAGCTCTTTGTCCAATCAGCAGGGAGCATTTAGACTTCCGGGAAGCGCTGGGCATTCTGGGAAACAGCCTCAGAGCTGGACAAGATGGGAAGCGGCTGAGGGAGGCTGCTATAAACCATGGCTACTGATAGTGGGTATGTTCTGTGATGAGGCTCGCCTCAAAGGCACCCTGCTGATGCCTTGTAGGTGAGACTCCCAGACTCCAAAATGACATCAAATTCTTTTAAAGCCCTAAGAAAAAATGAAGTTTGACTCTACAGGAAAAGCCTCAGTTCTTTAAAAATAGGAACAAGCCAGGCCCGGTGGCACACGCCTGTCATTCCAGCGGCTTGGGAGGTTGTGGCAGGAGGATTGTGAGTTCAAAGCCAGCCTCAGCAACTTAGTGAGGCCCTGAGCAATTTAACAAGACCTGTCTCAAAATAAAACATAAAAGGGGCTAGGAATGTGTCTCCGTGGTTAAGTGCCCTTGGTTTCAATCCCTGATACCAAAAAAAGAAAAAGAGAAAAAAAAAAAAAACGAAAGATGAGCCTAAGGAAATGGGTTGGATGATAACATGAGCTCTCCAAGCCCGTTTTCTCCTTCACTTCCACCTTGCCTAGAGATGAAGGGGACTTCAGTCAGGCAGTCAAAGCGAAGCTTATGAGAGCTGCCAGAAAACCTATCTATGTGTCCATAATGGACAGTGTTGATTTTATAAACAAAACCTCCCATGGACATGTGGAAGTTCTCTTCCTTTTTCCTACTTGTGATTCCATTCTGTTTAGATAATTTTTTAAAATTTAATTTTATGTTTTTAGTTGTTGATAGAACTTTATTTATTTATATGTGGTGCTGAGAATCGAACCCAGTGCCTCACACATGCTAGGCAAGCGCTCTACCACTGAGCCTCTACCACTGAGCCACCACCCCAGACCCCTGTTTAGATATTTTTAAATGACCTTTTTGGTTCATCAGTAATGGCTCCTGAGTCACAATCCCATCAGAGCAGGGAACTTTGGACAATTGTCATATCCAAAGTCATGTTTCCTGTGGCCTCATGGTCCCTGATACACCAAAAGAAAAGATTCCTCAAGTATAAACAAAATAATTGGTTGTGGTAGTGCATGCCTATAATCCCAGCAACTCCAGAGGCTGAGGCAGGAGATCACAAGTTCAAGGCCAGACTCAGCAACTTAATGAGGCCCTTAGCAACATAGACCCTGTCTCAAATAAAAAGGGCTGGGAATGGGTACCAAAAAACAACAACAAAAAAATCTATTTTCCATAACATGACATGCAGTATATCCAGAAATCCCCCAGATAAAGTTAACATTTTTAAAACATTATGACAAAAAATACTGATGTTGTTCCTTCCATAGATAAATTTTGCTCTTGTCATCATGTCTTTTTTTTTTTTTTTTTTTGAGCAAAGCCATCTGCTCAGTGTGTCAGGGTAGACTGTGGTAGATCCATTTAGCTGATGGGCCTGCTTCTAGTCGTAAATTTAGAATGAAGTTTTGACATTTTTACTACTGAAAATCAAAACATCTTTGCAGACCTTCAAGCCAGAGAGCTGACAGAGATAGGGTAGGGCTGTCTCCCAGGAAGGAATTCCTCCCTTCCACCCAAGTGAAAGGCAGCAGTGTCAGGAACATAAAAAGGAATATTGTGGAAACTGAAAACAAGACTCAAGAAACTTGTTTCTGCAAAGAAACCCAGACCTCCTGCTTATAAGGGTAACCTAAAAGCTGGAACACTAAACAAATAAATGCTTTCTTCTCGAGTGCATTTTCACAGAACTTGTCTTAGGCT